GTACATACTTTAAATAAGATGAAACAGGAACTAAAAGGTGAAACCATAAAATTTCCATTTGATCATCTTTCCAGAATGACAGTGGATTTTGGAAGGGGATCTAATCCAATACGACTTACAACTATGACATTAATAGAAATCATTTTTCACTGACTTATACCACATTCTTCACCTCTGTTAGGCTTGATTTAGGTTCTGTAGGTTGGCAGATGAGATTAGACGGGATAATATCCAGTGTGTAATAGCTCAAGATCCTAACATCTTCACATGCTCCCCTTGATCAGCACAAAACTATTTGGATAGCAGAACCAAAATGATATAATTTGTTGAATGGCCAATGACTGATGAATAAACACAAAGTACAGATTCCTTGGTAAGCTGTTTCTGAGAGGACATTACAGAAAAACAATATAACCTGTTTAAAACAGGAGAAAGCTGACTCAAACGGATCAGTGGAAAATACCGATGTCATTAAATGCTGTTGGTAAGCCTCATACATTTCACATAAGAAGAACTTACTAGTGACGCTGATTTGATTTTTGCTTAGATATTGATCTTTATCGCAGATCACAGCAAATAAAAATAAAACTTAGAATCTCCTAGGTACTTCACACCTGTGACCTTGCTTATATTGTTTCTTTGGCTTAAAATACCATTCCCTAATTCTCTGCCTCTCAAATTCTACTTACCTCTCAACCATCAGCTCAAATATAGCCTTCATAAAGAGACTTTTGATGTGTTTTCTATATGTTTCTATTCTTTGCTCTCCCAAAATGTGTTGCCAGTACTTTCATTTCGTTCTTACTTCGTTATGCAGTGTATTATTATGTATCATTTATATTTGTCTTCTGCACTACATAAGATCCTCGAAAGTAAGACTCATAATCTTCTATGTCTCTCTCAGCACCTAGGACAAAGCCTGGCACATAGTAGGCATTTGATAAATGTTTATTGAATTTGATTAAATCAAAGTACAGGTTAGAATAACAAAAAAAGTATTTCTTTTTAGAAGAGCCCCATGTAATAACCCTTTACATAAGCAGAGTGATTTGTTCCATTTGGAAAGTGCTTTGGAGTTGTCAAACAGTGTTACATTCAAACCTTCACCTAAGAGACAGTGAAGAAAATAAAGCTCACCTCAATCTCTGGGGTCCTTCTGTGAGTATGTTAATCTCTAATTTCCAGTTTCTCAGCCTCTCTAAGGACATACGTGAGTTTATTTAAAGAGATATGGAAAAAATAAAAATTAAAAGTAGATACTGAATTTGGAATTTAAAAAAGACTCTAAACTTAGAGCCTAGGATACTTTACTATCCAGGCAATTTTCTTCAGGTATTTAAATACCCCTATAAGGCCTCCTTTTAGCTATGAGATTTATGTTGATGTCATCAAAAAGTGTAATTCTGCTGGGTTTATAGGTTCGTGATGCATGTGTCAAGAGTCGTTGGGTAATTACAGTATTTTAAACATTGAGACAGTGCATGGCTTGGGGAGCAGTGTTTATTTAGTTTTAAAGTAAGGTGGTCCATGATAGCATTTTTTCTCACGTCTCATTTGAAATTGTCTTTCAGAACATGAAAAGAACACTTCAGCAAAACTAAAGTCAGAACATTTTCTTCCAGAGCTTCCAGTTATAAGCAATTTGCATAACAGCCCTTGATGACTATTGAAGATTCTTGGAGCAATCTGGGCAAGCTCTTTAAACATCTTTGGCTAGCAGCAAGGTGTTTCATACTCACAAGGCTGGATTCAGGGTGTGACCGAGATCCTGCTTAGGTTTGGAGTTGGGTGGCCATTGTTGAGTAGCCAACGTGATGACACATAGGAGTCAGGCACACAGCAGGGAAGGGGGCAGGTGTCACAGCAGGTGGGCTGAAGTAGGCTGATCTCATGTGGGCAGGTGCTAGGCAGGCAGACTCCACACTGGCAGCCTTTGTCAGAGGAGTAGATGGTGGGGGGGGAGGACTGTGGGGACACTGCAGCATTCTTGGGGACGACTCACAGCAAGACATGGTGACAGCAGATCAGGTTGATGTGTTGTTGCAAAGGATAGTTTTCTTCTACAGGGTTGTCCTCTGTGGCTCTTTTATA